ATTTCTATTTCCTTTGTTTAATATAGACAATGTCAAACAAGCGTAATTGTAATATCTTTAGAGAGTCAAATGATGAATTCATTTTATCCTAATTATGAATTGCGTACTTACCGAACAAAGAATGTCTCTGTTAAATAATCCGTTTTCCGTCAGACCTTGATTAATTTAGTTTATAAATTTGTTCCATTGACTTTTCTCTTAAATCTATTACAAAATATCTGTGATTAGGCGCTGGCTTTGTTTATTAATGGTGTTAAAGTTTTGAGAAAGAAATCTAGAAATTAATATGATACTGGATTTAAAAAAAATTGTTTTTAATTATTCATTAATCTTGGAAACTTGATGATTTTGTCAGTAGCATATTGCAGTGTGTAGTAGGTCGTTTTTACTTTCCAACCGAACAACAGTTATTATTTTCTCGAAATCGAGTAATTTATGGATAAAAATGGCATGTAGAACACAATGTTATTTCATCAGCATGATGGATTTGCAAAACATTTTTCCAGACTAATTTAAGTCAATAAACTGCACAACATAATTCAATATCAATTTAGTAACTCCATCATTTTTCACCGTGCATAACTGTGAAGTTAAGCAGCATTGTGTATCATCATCTTCAAACCGAAGTGGATTTGGATAGTAAATAATTCTTGGGATAACATGTTGGTTTGCTGAGAATGTACTCTTTTTGAAATGTGCTGTCTACAAATTCGAGTTTGAAGGCGTTTTTTGACCTTATACGCCATTTGTTGCAAGCAAATTATCCGTCCTATTTCAGTAGATTATGGCAATCGATCTGTTTCGTAAAAGCATGGCTGGTGAACTAGAATCTATGGAGAGTCATAATTTAGTTTTATGAAAAATAAATTATCCTACCCCTGGTTATCAACAACTGAAATAAGTTACTCTCTACAAACTATTTGTCCCCAATGTTCTTTTTTAAACATTAAGATCAATGCAAATTTTGATTTTATTCCTTATTTTTATATTCACAGGCAAATATAACCCAAAAGATACAAGCTTCAAAGTAAGTTTATTTTTTCATGATATTTTGATATTGGACAAAATAATTGCTTTTTTGACCCTACAATTTTGTTGTCCTAGTTTCTAATGATTCGTAAATCAATGTTCAATAAGTAATCTCATTACAGAAGGGTAAACAATTTATAAAACGCAATATAAAATGTCTTTAACATCAAGTATGAAATACAATAGATTAATCAATGTCTAATAATTTACAACAATCAACTATTGTTTAGGCAAATGAAATAACAGGTCACTAGAAGTGTGTTGAAGTGGCAAACACGTAATAACTGTTCTTATTTCCGTTGAACCTTGATAGAAAAGCTTAAAACTAAAGTCCAACAATATTCACATTTGAATTGAAAATTTCCGTTCCATTTATCAGCTAAATATGTACCTATGGATCAAACTGCATATATAGCTCATTAACTTGTACAACATAGAAAACAGAATATACGGAGCGAAAATATATAAGTGAGTTCTAGTATTATGGGAGTTCTGTGGTTTTACTTTCAGCAATTCCGTTTTATTAGAGAATAATCAACCGCTCTAATCTTTAAAATATTACTGTGTTGTATGTAATATCATCGGTGTGATGGTAAAAAAGTTTGTACTTTAGTATTCGTTTTATTTTTTAGTTTATTTCCAACTTTAACTGGATGTGAATAAGCTCTATGTTTAGTTAATGAGATTAAACAACACTAAATTGCTTCATTCCTATTACTACTAACTGAAGCAGTTTGAAGGAAAATGTCAGTAGCATTACAGTTCAATTTTTATAACTCAACTGGTAGAATTTTGCAAATAACGATCTGGATACTGCTGGATTTTCCAGAAGTTTCAGTGTTCTGTTAATTACTATGATTGCTTACGCCAATAAGTATTAGCATTCATGTAAATATTAACTATCTAGTTTAAGTAATTTCTCCTTACTGAATGAAAACAATATTTAAGCGAGCAAATTCATTTTGTAAATCTCGTGAATGATGAATGCTTATGTTGATTCAATAATTATGATTACATTAAATATGATTATTTTTTATGACCCTAAATTTATAAATCATGAGAAAATAATTCTGATAACTGTCTGATTATTTACTTACTTACTTACTTACTTACTTACCTACTTAGGCCTGTTACCCCTTCATCTAATTACTGGATAGATACATTTGTTTAAAACTATCTTTTAAATAAAAATGTCATAAACCTTTATTAAAAATGAATCACATAGATCATACGTCATGCTAAATTAGTTTATTATAAGACTTTCAATTAATTATTTTCATAACTCACTCTTCAAAACCGATGGATTGCACGGTAAGCTAAAGCGGTATTCACAACAGCGAATACAATACGATTTGATGAGCAAATAAATATCATATGATTGTACAATTTCATAATCGTTATTATTATATATGTATATATAATAGTTTAATTACTATCATTTATGTTTAGTTCAGTATGATATTGAATTACTATTTATTTATGAATTCAACAGAACATTAATTGTTTATTTCTCGAAATAAATAATTCATCATAACATTATCGTTTTGAAAATATAATCAAAGCAAGCAGCAATTTGATAGTATTTAATTACAAATACTGTGACTTTAAAGTTGTTGCATTCTTTATAAAAAGTGTTTAGATCATTAACGACTAATTTTTTACTTTTTTTATCCTACATTTTTCTAGTGACAGTTTTTCACAACACCTTTACCCTTTCGTTCTTTTAGATGCTGATGACATCGAAATCTATCTAATGTGTTGGTATTTTATCTGGGTTCTCCCAGAATTCGTCCAATATCCTTAGCGGCATACACTTGACTTGCTCTCATCATGTTTAATCTTTTCTACTGTTATTATGTTGTCACCCGGAGCGTTACTGTTTTCCACTTTCCTTAGGTTTTGTTGTAGTTTTTCACTGGTGTTTGTGGACTCTGATCCAGTTTCACAAGAGATTTTACTTTCAGTTGGACTTGCTTGTTAAGAAGGTCCATCACTCATTCATCTTGTCTTTCAAGAAATTTTAAGCTCCTCCATAGAAGAAAACGCCAAAGGTTTGAAGATGATTGATAATCTTAATTCGTGCTGTGACATGTCACATGTTACATATTTAGATGACCTATGCCTAATCTCGACCTCAACTGACGACTAAGGTAACACTAAGGACTCACAAAACTTTCTTAGTCAACTTAGTACGACAGTTTCCTATAAAAAGACAAAGACTACGTATATAAAAAGCAAAACAATAACCCACTAGTTATTATAAGTAATAATAAAATAGAGGAAGCAAACTCATTAAAATATCTGAGATCGACAATTCGAAAGAACGTTCGTCCAGACGATGCGATCATTGCAAACATAATAAAAGTTAGATATGCTACAATAAAAATACAGCCAGTACTGCGAGATAACAACATAAGTTCGAGTACCAAAAAAAATTGATGTGGTTCACCATCATACTATTATTAAGATATAGACTAAAGACAATAAACCTCATAAAAAAGGACTGAATAAGATCAACAACCGTCTTACATACCATTCGATCAACAATACTTGGTGTAATCTGTCGAAAGCATACCGCAATAATAATGCTACAAAAGAAAACCCGTTTAGCTAACATAGTCAATAAAATCAATGAAAATTTTCGTATATTTCGTGCATCACAACAAATCCTACAATTGTAGGGTTATGATAGTAGCATAGCCGAGGTCAAACATACCAAAAACTGGATAAAACTAGCAAAACTTGACATCAAGTTGTTTGAAGGAAGACTACAGCAAAATTAAGTAGACAAACCAATCAAGTTTAATTTGACAAACCAAGCGGTTATAAACTCAAAATCATTGTAAAGCGAGATCTAACACTTATATTCTCCAATCGAAATCGCAACAGAATTTTCGCTAACAAAAACGAAATAAATCAGTATTGCATAAACAGTCACCCTGTAAACAACAGTGGAGTAATAAACCCACAAGGATACTGCTACTAACCTGGCAATCGCGCAAGAAAACAATAGGATTGATGAAAACACATACATTCATGGCACTCCCAACACGACGTAAACTGACCAAAATTTACTACACGGCCGATAACAACAAAAACAGCACAATCAAGTAAACAAAAAAATGAATATAGATGCCCCTTCAAAGGGTATAGTGAAATGCTACCTGCAAGATTAATTATAACTAATCACTGGTATGTGGTGCACAGATGGTCAGCAGTCACCGGACAGGAAGTAAGATCACGAATATAAACAGTTATTGCTTTCCGGTGGTTATGCCGGGTTTTCAGAAAAGACAGTAGGCTTCACTAACCAGTTTGGCTATGAACGAAGCCAGAAAGAATCAAATTTTTACAGCTTATGTTTTAACTATTATCATTACCAAAAAAAATTATAACTAGTATAAGCAGCTAGAAAGTAGCTCTGTGTGATTCAATCCCGTTTTATAACTAAAATGAGTAGACATGTATGACAAGAAGTAATCAGTTTCAACAGGATGAAATTCTCGTAGTAATCGACTCATACGTGTTGTTGATATTTTGTCAACAGCTTAATGACTATCCGATAAGAACGAAATTTGAACTCAATATTTTTATATTGTATGAAAGAAAAGTTTCTAACGCATTTTCTACATAAACAGAACTCTTACAATAACGGTTTATCCTGATTTATATTATGAAGATAGTTTTACAACGTCCATGTAAATAAGTAAATGAGAAGACCTTGTGAATATCCATACAATTGTCTAACTTTCTCAATATTAAGGTAGCAAATGTTTGTTATTTTCATCACTGTAATGTACTTTTTTAGATTAATATAATAGTCACTAATAAGTGATGCAATAACTTCAATGTTTACTTTATATGTTATCAAAATTAAACCATTACATCATTTGCAAAATAGTTATTTTCACACTACAATTCCATCACATAATGAGCTATATGCACATTACGTTATCAATGAAGTATTTAGACATGAACCAAACCAAGCAAATATATGAAACATTCCTGACAACTTAATATAACTTTATTTTCTGAATGTCGTGAGATCCTATTACTTGATTCGATTTCTGGTTAGAGGCTTAATTTTAGCATATAAAGGTTCACAAAACTCATTCGACAAATGTCTGCTAATTATTCATTTCAATAAGCTTTTTCTCACTAGATACTGCGTACAGTTAGACTATTTGTTCCGTCGAGTAGACTAAAATAAGGACTACAAATTGAATTTATTTTGATGTAATTGTTTGTTAACGGGGTTTAATTGTTATCATTAAACTTATGGTCTTAGTTATCAGTCTATTTTCTATTATTTTTAAAAATAGTGACGTGAATCTATCACCAAAGCAAATGCTCCGCTGTATTGATTTTTATTTATTGTGGCTCGTAATGTTCTGCAACATTATTCCTATTACAACAATCACTTCAACTTATAAGGTAGTTATTTCTATTCTTTACACTTTACTCATTTACTTTTAACTTATTCGTTACAAGGATCTAGTTTACAATGTTCAGTGTAATGTATATGTAGTAGCGAGACAACTTTTGGTTACTGTTTTCCCAGGTTATCAGGTTAACAATTTTCGCCTGAGATGAATGTATTCATTTTTCTTATGCACCAGGTGGCAAGTGTTCTATGTGGTTTAGGTATTATATAAACCACATTAAAAACTAATGTGGGATCTACTACAGTAGTATGCTGTAAGTACTTTTACACCGCGACTCTGAACAAATAACAAGTTTAATCTATTGAATGATAAATTTTATCGAATCTCATAAAACGAATATCTGAGATTTTAAAAAATGGCACATCAAAACAACTACTTTTTGGTGCTGCTATTAAAAAACTGTTCGATCACAAATTTATTAGTTTGTAAAATTGTCATCTGGATTACATGTTTAAATTTCGTTTTAACACATGAGTAGTCAACCAAATATCGTTTGTGAATATTTATTTGAATGTTTTTTTTACAAGTTTGATCTTTATACTGCTGTCAGCTTAATTCCTATTCTTTCTCTTTGTTTGTTGAAGCAATTCGGTCAAAAGCACATTTCAGACGACAGATTTTTGTCAGCCATAGTAACTATTTCATCTTTATTTAATTGCGCTGGTCGTGTGATGTGGGGTTCGATTGCTGACCGATTTTCGTTTAAAGTATGCAACACAATTTGATTTTAAGTTGATATTCGTATTTTAAAGCATCCTGAAATCGTGATTAAGTGTTGCTTGAAAGTATAAGATAATTTTCTTATAACACTTATCTGCGCCTATATTACTATAATAAAAACAGCACAACATGGCCAGAAGTTTTGAGATATTACGTTGTTTGTTGATATGTGGTTTCAAATGATCATGACCAGTAGGGTACTCACTTGTACCTCAGCAATTAAAATATGATAACGAATGCTTTATGTTTTCAATTACTAAACTTACGGAACATATACAAAACATTCCCTTTCTAAGTTTACTGTGAACAGAATAAAATAAGTCTGTGAAGTGAAGTAGATCAGAATATATAATTGTAGCTGAGCAAATTAAACATAACAGAATGAAGCTTATTGAACTGAACTGAACCAATAGAAGGAACTGACAAGATAGCTTATTATTTAAAATAACCTTTTTGTCCATTCTTTCAATGGATACCCAAGCGTGATAAATCAATCTTATGGGACGTTAATTATAGTATTATTCCTTTTGAACATATGTCTACCAGCGAAGATTTCTTCTAACCGCTCACCATCCAGACAGTTAGATGTGTTTAAGTAGGACGTAGTCACTTATATGTATCAGTTACTTCGGTTACAGGTTTAACAGCTATTTTTCCTATTCAACATGTTTAACTTAAACTTTGTGCACAAGCGTAAAGCTTCTTAAAAGATGGCGTAATCATACCCTTAACTCGCTTCAAGAGCAACTTTTAGCAGCACAATGTGTTTAGTCATCGAAGACCATTAAGGTTTTGTATGTCTCATACAAGGTTATTAGACAAAAGCTGAAGCACATCTATTCATGTCCATCCCATGGTCTTATCAACTATTATAGTTGTTGAATCTTCTCGAAATGATCATCTAGTTAAAACTTTGAGTTGTTTGATTTCCGATTTAGAAATAAATTAACATTTTATCTTTTTTCACGACGTTCATGTTCCATAAAACCTCACCGATGGACTAACTTCTAAAGTAAATTACAAATGATTTGTGCTCTATGTTATCTTGAAACTGTTTTTAGAGCTGGTTTTGTATTTTAGTAGACTTAGAGAGTTGCATGATAAAGGTTTAATGTTAATCTGTGTGACGGTTTTCTCGATACCACCAGTTTTGTATCGTAATTCATGACTCTCTTCTGTTTTCCTTCACGTATTTTAAAATTACTTCGTATTTTCATTGAATTAAAGACCCAAATCCTGTTTGAGTTTTAGCAAAATGGTCCAAATGAAAAAAGTGTTCACCCGTTTCTTCTCTCTCTTATAGGTGCCACTATGTGTAAAACTCACTATTTGGTCTGTCGTTCTGATAACATTCCCACATTTGTCATTATTTTCGGAAACAGTAATTAAAATATTATTTCCTATTTGGGTATTCGTCTTATTTACCTTATTCTGCGGAACACTCGTCCTCATTCCAAATGCAACTGGCACAGTTTTTGGGCCAGTCAATTTAGCTGTGAATTATGGTTTAATATTCCTAGCATTTGTGAGTTTTTAGAAAACTTTATTTGTTATATTGCTAATCACAACGATATATGACAATAATTAGCCTTCATTTTTAATTTACTGCCCTTAAAATATACTTCAGACTATTTCACTGATTTTTTCATGTCGCTAGTACACAATCACTTACCTGTAGGTCCTATACATAAATACGAGTATCAGACAATAAAATCGGAACACCATAATATTGTCACATCCAACTAAACGGCTACAATATATCCTTCTATCTTGATGCATCAATTACTTCTATAAAATAGTAAACTTTAATAATCACTTTCATGATCACTCCGTTTGCATACTTCACTTTTTGTATTGCTTTTTGTTTCATCGTTGATTTCCATTAACTTTGGATTGTTTTAAAGATGAAGTTGAGAAATTAGTACATAAAATAAGTATTGAGTAACAACAGTAATTGGAATGTATAGTTAGTAATTTTAACATTATTGAGGTCTTCATAAGCATTTCTTTTTCCATACTTGTCCATAGTTTTGTTGAAAGACATAGTTTGACTTCATATTTAGCTTTCAGTACTTTGGAAAACATCAACTGTCTCTACAAAAATGCTTGATAAATTGCTTTCCTATTTTTGTACTTAGTTTACTTAAGAGTTATACGTTAAATCCTTGATTGAAGATTTTTGATTGCCTCTAGGAAACCTACTGAAAGGCGCACATAACGTACATACTTATATTTCTTCAACCTCTCCAATAAAGTAACAAAAAAACGAACTGAAGTATGATCAAGAGCATACGAAGTTAGCGAATGTAGAGGCAGTAAGTATAGAGTAGCTAAGAAACAAACTTTAAATTGAGTGGAAATCAATTTTGGCAATCAAAGTTAAGGAAAAACGTTTAACATATCTAACAAAATAGAAGGTTGGGTTTATGAAAGAATTAAAACCGTTTAAGTACATATTTACTAATTACATATTTTCTTTCCTCGGTTCTAGTCGTTTGGAAGTTTTGCATGCGCAATTTTCACAACATTCTTAACCCCAGATGGTGCTTATGTATTCCAATACACTGCCTGTGGAGCCGTTTGTCTATTGGGTAAGAAGGTATTTTTATATGTATGCACGAAATATTTCTGTAGCTTGCGTAGTGAAATGAAACACCGGTGGGGACAATTCAATGTATTTAACAACCAATTACAGAACTAGTTAGTAAAATCAAACGACCATATATTGAATCGGTAATTTGCAAATTGTTCATCAATTATCTCAAATCACTCAGAATCCCCTTGTTCTTGCATTTTCATACAAATTGCCTTCCGTCTTCATTCTTTATTGTTCGATCTTCTTATCTCTCTGCCGCCAGACATTCTGTTCAGTGCTCACGTCATGTACTACTTATGTCTACATAAGTAGCACACACCACACTTGTACCTAATACTGTTCAACGCGGATTTTAGGATGAGCAATCTTTCAGATGAAACTTATTACAGAAACCAATGAACGAGCTTCACAATACCACAGTTTGTATAAGATTCAGATTGTGTATATACATTAAAATTGTTCAGTATTAGAAACTTTTGATCCAAGTAAAATGTATAAAAGGTGGTTTAAGTATAAATTATACGGTCAAAATACCAGCCGATTTGTATGCTACATTTGTGAACACTGATAATGGCACTAAACTTTCAGTTTTGAAAACATGTACAAGTGCTTTTTATTTACAAACAAGTGAATATGAATTTCATGGTTTGAATGGAAGAAAACGATGTATAAAGTGTTTAGCTAACTTGTAGAATAGTTGAATCGTAAACGCTTATATTCTGAAACTTTACATATGTTACGTTTGAAAATCCTTATGAAGAAGAGTTACTTAATTGGTAATAAAATTTTAAAAATTACACGTTTTCGTATATTTACCTTACGGAATATATGTAATAGGTAAATAATAAATGTCATCGTAATCTTCTGGACTATTTTGATTTGCTGAATATTAAAAGAAAATTATCTTTAACCACTAGATTTTGCCCATACGGTATTCATATCTGAATATAATTTTTAAGTAATACGCGAACAGACTAATTTGTAATGGGAATTACAAAATGAATAAATTTTCATAAAAAACTAACAATCGTGATTCTCTCTAGTCCTAAAGCTTATTTAGCAACACGTTTTCAATATCAAAGTCTTTTGTGCCTTATTGAATGTATTTTGCATACTTTTTCTCATTATAACCTCTGTACGAACCATCGTTGATAGAGCACATGATTTCTTTGCAATTAGGTCTTAGTCTTGTCTTTACACTAATATATGAGATTTACAGTAATAACTTATATTAACTGCATAGTATTGTTACACAATAGATTAGCAGAGTAAATAATTTGGCTTTATGACATTTCACCAAAATATTTTTTTGTTCATGACATGTCATTACGTAGTCTAAAAGATGTCAGTTTCGGATGTCCCTATTTTTGCCATATGTGCCTGAATATAAATCCAAATGATCAAGTTCTATAAAAACATATTCCATCAGTTAGTATAATCGAACAAAACTGAACACAGCTTATCAGAACGAATTTTAAAGATTTTTCCATTACTTTTTAGATAAATTATTGGAAGTGTTTAAGATTTCAGACTGAAGAATGCAAGTCAAAATCAAACAATATAACGTATATATACATTAAATATTTTCAATTTCGATACAGTAATATTTTGTTTTTTTTTACATTTAGCACTGTTTATCACATTATGGATCGAGGATAGAAAAACACCAGAGAAATGTCAACTATGTGGATGTTTCGTTCGATGCTGTTTAAAATTGCGAGTAAAACAACCACTAAGTAGTCCACATGAATTACAAGCGCTTAGATCTTAACATGAACGGTCGGTTTTATGATATTTAATATCTGCAGCTCGAATATATATATATATATATATATATATATATATATATATATATATATATATATATAATCTTTTAAAGTTCCATAAACCATAACTTCGTGGACCATAGAGATATTAATGCACAACAGTAATGCTTTTGTTATTATTATTATTATTAGATTAGTGCTGTTACAATTGTCAATGATCTCTCGCTTTATTTGAGAATATGCTTTGTAACCAATATTAATTACGTCTACTCGTATAAAAGCTACTGTAATAATAATAGTCTTTATTATTCCTTGATAACACTTTATTTTCTGGTTGTGATTTTCCATTTGATGAAACAAAACATTTGTCATTATTTCAAATGAAGGTTTAAAATAAAACAATAAAATTAGAGAATATTTCACTTCATAGATATTAATAAAAATGTAATGCTTCATACTGAACCTCAATTTTCACTACGGTCACTACAAATGTTAAGATATATACCAATAACGTAAGACATTTAACGAGAAACAACTTCCCGAAATAAGTAGCCTGTAAATACTTGCCATTTGACTCTCGAGGAGCAGGTTGGTTTTCGTTCTGATCGAGGATGCATTGATCATATCTTCACCCTCCGCCAAGTGTTAGAACACCGCCATACTTATCAAAGGCCAACAATCGTAGTGTTTCTTGATATCAGGACTGCCTTCGATTCGTTGGACAGAACTGTTCTCTGGGATTGTCTATTGAAGAAGGGTGTGCCTGAGAAGTTTATTAACATCCTAAAAGCCCTATATACAAACACCTCAGGCAGAGTGAGGGCATACAACCACCTTTCTCCATTATTCCATTCAAGCAGTGGAATTAGGCAGGGTTGCCCAATCTCACCATTCCTCTTCAACTTTGCCATCGATGACATTCTGGAAACAGCTCTGATGGATGTAAGTAATGGTGATGTGGATCTGTTGCCTGGAGAAAGACTCCTCGACCTTGAGTGTGCGGATGATATTGTCTTACTGTACGAGAATGCCCAAGTCATGCAATCCGCACTTAATCAATTGGCAATCAGTGTCCGTAGGTATGGTATGTGGTTTGCACCTTCGAAGTGCAAAGTTCTTCTACAAGACTGGCAGGATTCTAATCCTGTACTCACTCTGGATGGTGAGCAGATTGAAGTAGTCGAGAAGTTCGTGTATCTGGGTAGCTGCATAAGTGCTGCTGGTGGTGGCATGAGTGATGAGATCAATGCACGTATAGTGAAAGCCAGAGCGGCTTATGCCAATCTGGGCCATCTTTGGCGCCTTCGTGATGTTAGTCTGGCTGTAAAAGTTCGGATCTACAACGCGACGGTGAGAGCGGTTTTGCTCTATGTTTGTGAAACCTGGCCTCTCCGAGTTGAGGATGTTAGACGACTCTCTGTGTTCGATCATCGCTGTCTCCGAAGGGTTGCTGACATCCAGTGGCAACACCATGTCAGTAATGCAGAGGTTCGGCATCGTGTGTTCGGGCACAGAGACGATAATGCAATTGGTGTCACCATCTTGAAACACCGACTTCGGTGGCTTGGACATGTTCTACGGATATCCTCCCAGAGAACTCCTCGTCGTGCATTATTTGCCGACCCTGGACTGGTTGGAAACAGCGGAGAGGTGGTCAGTGTAGGAAATGGGGTCGTGGTATGAAAGAAAGCTGCAAAGGGCTGGCTTGTGTTGGTCCTTCACGACTCCCTGACTGGGGTCCGAGAGATGGTGTAACACAGTGGTTAGAGACGTTATCAGATATGGCTCAGAATAGAAGCCAGTGGCGATCCTGCTGTAACCTTCTTTTAATTTCTTCATAAAAAGTGGTTGTGTCTTCCTTAATTGTAAGATTTCTTCTGGCTGCACCTTTCCTTTTCCCCTCATTATTATTATTAAACAACCTTACACTAGTATGGTTGTTTTTGCTCTTCTTTTCACGCTCCTTACCTTTTTTTCTCTTTCTCCGCTCCACTCTCATTGTTTCGTGTGGCGCATATATATTTGGGGCTTCTTGTACTAACATTTATGTGTTCAAATAAATAAATAAAATACTTGCCATTCATGTTCTCCATGTTACTTTCAGCTTACACAGCTTGTTGGAGCTGATCAGTCCAACATCATGACGACGTTCCTGCACAGCCTACTTTAGATGCTTTCCTTGATCCAGACAGTAATCCCAATAGACACGTCCATTTATTTTTATATCCGTTAAAATATATATTACCTCTCAAATCTTCTTGTTTTCCTGATTATCTTTGTACTGTCTTGTCTGGAAGATACCATGAACAGAATCCTTTGACTTTGCCGTATATAGAGCAATTTCTGAGATATAATAATACCTGTTATATATATAGCAACTGTAAGAAAATGCGTTATAGGGCATTTTATTTATTAATTAGCGAAGTGCATTAAGTTCACGATACAACGATAATACAGCAACAAGATAGCTTTCTAATATCATTTTGTGAAGACAAAATATTCTGCTGTTCCAAATATCCTAATGTAGATGCATTAAATAATACCTCCCATGAGATGCATGATTATCTACAGGCTGCATTCATAGATATGATAGTATAAATTTAATATTATTGAGCTCTCATTTTCATTTAAATATGCTCCAATTCTGTTAGGAGTATAAACTTGTGAACTAGAATAAATAACAGTATCAAGTTAGGTGTATGATACAGAAATACCGGGAGCTGTCCAAAACTCCACATGATGGTGATGAATCCTTGTTAAGACAGTGCGTACCATTGAGTACAAGCGATTCCCACTTCGTGGGACTGATCGGCAAAAGTGCGGTTGTAGGACGGAGGAAATTGGCGGAACAGGAAGTGATCGTTGATCCTCGAGTTGCCAACGAAATTCTTTTGCGCAGAACGGTACCAGGAGAAGTGTGCTGTATTTGTTGCTCGAGTTAGCATACCACACCAGAGTGGTTTGTATCCAGGATCTGATGATTGCGTCCATAGGGATGCGAACCAGAAAACGCTGCAGACGTAGAACAAAACCACGTTGAGCCAAGAAACCGGACGCTACCATAACGACCAAGCGTATGCCAGGCGAATTCGAGACCAGATAATCGACTGAGTGCGTTGATTAGAGCGTGGGTGGCCAAACCAGCTTTTGCCAAAGTTGACCGAGGTCGACGTTACCGAACGGGCGATGGTCGGAGGCGTGGGCTCAGGATACAAAAAAAAATCAAAAAAAAGAAAAGCGTAGCATGCGTGTAGTATAAGGAATAATCCTACACCGTATCCGTTATTGACTGTGCGTTTAGTCGCGAAAGCGTACGGGTAATCGTACTCGGCGACCGGAACGTGAGACGGTAGTCTCGTTCGTACTTCGTGAGCCTGCGATCTCATCCGAGGTCAAGGGCGGCGTGGTCTGTCGATCTGGACGTGAGACGGAAGTCTCGTCCGTAGATGGTGCAGATGACGCGTGCTGTTGACCGGGACGTGAGAACGAGGTCTCTGATGTATCTAGCATGGGATCCGAGGTAGATGTAGAGATCCCGCTAGTAGGTTTGATAGGTCTAGCATTGAGTCTCAAGTTATCGGGTAGGGCACTGTCATCGACGTGTGCTGGTTTGAGACGATCAATGCTGACGATCTCGACGCGGCCGTGTCGATCAACCTTGAAGGTCTTTTCGTGACGAGAGATCACGTGAAAAGGGCCTTCGTAAGGCTGTTGTAGAGGTTTGCGTACCGAATCTACTCGTATGAAAACATGTGAACAGGTAGATAACTCTCGAGGGAGAGCGACCTGTCGATGTTGTATTCGAGTTGACACCGGAGACAGCGTCCGCATATATGCAGACAGTCGATGGACGTAGTCTGATTTACCGAAATCATTACTGCTCCGTGGTGTGAAGAATTCCCCAGGCAGACGCAATGTCGTGCCGTATACAAGTTCAGCGGCGGAACATTGGATATCTGCCTTCAAACTCGTTCTGATGCCTAAGAGAACGAGCGGTAAGGTTTCGTACCAATTGTCGTTTTCGTGTGCTCGGAGAGCACTTTTAAGTTGGCGATGAAACCGTTCGACTAAACCATTCGATGCTGGATGGTAGGCGGTAGTGCGTATGCGTTCCGTACCAAGCAGCTGGGTCAGTGAGGAGAATAATGCGGACTCAAATTGTTGTCCTCGGTCAGTCGTGACAGTCGAGGGACAACCGTACAATGCTATCCATCATTCTACGAAGCGGTGAGCAACTGTCTCCGCCGAGATAGACGTGATGGGAATAGCTTCGGGCCATCTTGTAAAACGGTCAATGCACGTGAGTATGTGATCATACCTATGCGATGGTGGCAATGGTCCTACAATGTCTATATGAACGTGATCAAAGCGAGCATCAGGCGTAGCGAACGTGCCAATGGGGGCAGCTACGTGCCTGTGCACTTTTGATCGTTGACACTGTAAGCATTGCTTTACCCACATACGAACATCTTTATTCATGGACGGCCAGACGTATCGTGCAGCGATGAGGCGTAATGTGGCTGCGATACCTGGATGAGACAATCCATGAAGGGCATCGAAGACGAGACGGCGATAGGCAGAGGGTACGATGGGTCGAGGAAGACCGGTAGAAATATCACATAGGATAGTACCTGAGCTAGTAGCTAGGGGTACTTCCTGACACTGAAGGGACGAAGATTGTGGTGCTTCTGTACAGACAGGATCGTTTGCTTGCGCGGCGGCCATAGCAGGAAGATCGAGCACCGGTAAGGTAACTGCATTGGTCTGGATACGTGATAGAGCATCGACAACATAGTTCGACTCGCCTTTAATGTGACGAAGGTCTGTCGTGAACTGGGAGATACAGTCCAAATGTCTGCACTCTCGTGGTGAGTAGCGGTCAGACTTGGTATGCAGGGCATACGTGAAGGGCTTATGGTCGGTGAATAAAATGAATTGGCGTCCTTCTACTGCGTGCCGGAAATGTTTGATGGCGCAGTAGGCTGCAAGCAGCTCGCGACCAAAAGCGCTATATCTCGTCTCCGTGGGAGTAAGGCGTCGTGAGAAAAATTCAAGGGGTTGCCAACTACCGGAGATATTCTGTTGCATAACGGC